GTTTTGTATAGCCCACAGATGGATCCTAACTTGTTCTAGGATCCCCATATATTAGGTCTCCTTTAATATTGGGATGATATTATGATTTGCGATAAATAAATAAAAAAATATATACAGTGTTGATGTTTTTCTGCTCTGGGTTCAGAGCAAAAAACAACTAATACATAATCTCCATTACAACATGATGGAGTGATTATGATTTGRTGTTTCTCTGGTCCATTTTGTTTATCAGACTGATGCTGACAAACAACATAAATGCAAACATTGGAGCCAATCGTTTATTGCAATTTAAGCATTTTTTTGCAATATGCATCTTGCACTGGCTGTTATCGTGATAACGATAAATTTGCAATATGGCTAGGTTTTTGTACTTTTAGAACTTTTTAGATGGAAATCTTTTTGTAAAAATATTACAATACTGTATACTGAAATGCATAAAAGTCACAAAATCCAAAAGTCATAACACCCATCTCATAAATGAGGGGAATGTTTTGATTTATGAAATAAATGACTAAAAACACACAAAACATGCTTGAAGTAGTTTGAATGCAACAAAGTACAGGCRAATCAAAAGCAGGATAACTCTTTAAGGTTGTAAAGTAATAAAATAAAAAGGTTCCTAAGGAGTAAACCCTCTGTGGACATTCCCTTACAGAGTAACGATGAGATAGAGTGAGTCTGAACAAATCAAATGACCAAACATTAGATGAGTGGGTGAACAGGGACTGACCGGCATGACAGGTGCCGGTGGAAGTAGAGTTGGAGCAGGGGCACGGGGCACAGGCTTCGGTCAGACCAGAACCAGGACTTCGGAAGAAACCAGGCTTACACTCATCACAGTTGGACCCYTGGGTGTTTCCCACACAGTTCAGGCACACTCCTACAGAACAAAGAGAAACTAGMTGGTTATGAACTTCTTTGGTGTAAAGAAACTGTATCTGATACATGTCTTCATCATCGTGTCAACAATATGTGCATCGACTGAAAGCAGCTGAATCTTGATCCTTCCAGTCTACAGGTGAAGGTGACACATTCGGAGAACTCACATACACTTCTGGCATTTTGATTTTTTGCATTTCCATTTTTATCGCTCACCATAGAACGGTAAGATGGAGCGATCATTTTGCTCCTGTGTTCATTTTGTCTGTGTTGTCAGCAGAATAGCCCATAAATCACTGAGCAAGTTTTAATGTAATAAAGCTCTATATTTGAACCAGAATTGTAGATACAGTATATAACTTACTGAAAAGTATTTAAAGTGATTCTATGACCTGAAATTTTAACTTAAACATCAAGATAAATG